GTGGGCTGGCATCATAAAGCAAGGTCCCATGACTCCCCACTAACCGTTATGATGTCTGTCCACATAGATCCACATAGACAGTCTATATGGTTTACATTTCACCCGTATCGACTGAAGGCTTCCAGTACACCATCCCTCAGAGAGCCTGCTCACTGTCACTCAGACTGATCCAGGGATCCTAGAGAACTGGGGCTTTGTCCACTGACACTCACAGTCTCATCACTACCACTGACCTAGGGGATTGCTAGGACTGACCTCAGTTTACCCAGTCATGCCTCACTTCCAGTCACTTGTCCTTCAGCACTCTTTTATCGCCTATTCTGACCCAGTCCTCAACTCCCCAATCTGCATTGGGAAGTCCTTATCCTGGTGCTGTCTAGAATCATGTCCCAGTGTCGGCAGAATGCCCCAGAGTCTCATTCTCCTCTCTTGTGCTCTCATGGGACCCTGGCTGTCCCTGAAGCCACCACCCCTTTACCTTGCAACTGTATCCCAGTGCTTTATGCCTACACCCTGTGGCTCCCTGTCCCTCACTGCCGTTCACAGACACAGGCCATGCACCCACCCCTGCAGACTGGCTCACCCCCTCCCCAGTTCTCGCCAGCTCCCTTTACCCCCTTACTCTCTGCAACAGTACAGTCTTGGCCTGCTGCCTCCTCCCTCCAGGGCATCTGAAAGGTATTCTTGGAGATTCCAAATTTGGTGGCCAGTCCTTTTAGGGCCTTGACCACCTTACTTCCAAGACCTTGAACCCAGCCTGTAAGGATGCCCACTTTCTTGGTTGCTAAATATTGAAATCCTGCTATGCTGATCACTCCCGGTAACTGCAGAAAAGAGGCTGGGCAGAGAGTCCTCCAGGAGGGAGGGGTGAGTAATGCCATCTTCTCTTCCCTCCTCCCAAAGACAGGCCCAGGGTTGAGCTCCATTCACAGGTCCTATAGCTCTGCAGGTTCTGAGACTCAGCCAGACCCTTAGGGACCCCAGAGGTAGTAGGCATGGGGGGCCAGTGCCAGGCTGGACTCCCCTCCAATGAGAAGGGTGCTTCTTCTAAACAGCCTCTCCCCACCCCTCCTCCCACCCCTCTCCCCATGGCTCCAGCACCACATCCAGTCAGGGGCCTGGCCTCCTGCAACTGTGGCTCCCAGGAGCCAAGCTCATAGACCAAAGAATCATGGATAAATCAGAATACACTGGCTGAGACCAAATGTTCTTCCTCCAACTGGGAGGTGGGGAGCAGCTGCCGAGGCGTCCTATGTCAAAGCGTGACCAGACAGGGCCATCATTTAGCCTGCAGCAGCCTCATCATCCAGAGATCACACCAATAATTTCTTAAAATCAACCAATGATTTGGGGCCCATTAGCATAATTTGATGAGTTGTTTGCATGTCAACTTTTCCCTGGGTAGGCAGTTTCCTAACACACACACGATGTATAGGGAAATGAAGAAGGATGCTTTCCTTTTGTGTCTCGGATTCATTTGTACGACCTCCCATGTTGTCATATACTGTCAGTATCACCCCCACCTCCACCTGAGACACCTTGACCTTGGCATTACCAAGTGCCTTCCTCCACACTCGGCTTTTTGCGTCTCACTCTCTGACCACCTTCTAACTCATTCCAATCAACCCATGATTCAACAAGTATTTATCCAACCCCCACCTGCCCACGGTTTACAATGAAGTCACATAGAGAAAGAAGGGGGGGGCTTTTTTGCATCTAATTTGTCCCTAGAGTCACACACACACACACACATGCACATGGGAGATACCCCACTAACACAATGTGGAAAGCAGAGGGGGGTTAGGATGTAATGAGGGATCAGACAGGAAGACCAAGTGTAAAGGTCCTGGGGTATAGGATATACAGCAGGTGAGAAGACAGAGATGCACTAAGAGGAAGGACATAGCTGAGAGGTGAGGCCAGAGATAGAGGGTAGAGCTAGTCCTGTTAAAGACAGGTAGATTCTCCTTGTGAGTCAGGGAAGGTACACAAACTGGAAAGGCAAGATGCCATCTGCATTTTCAAAGTTTCTTGTGATGCCTGGAGGGGAGTCAGGGAGAGGACAAAATGCAAAAGTGGAGTGGCTACAGTGTCATACAAGGACTCAGGTGGTGGTCTGACTTTGGAGAGATGGGATGAGAGGCACTGTGGCAGTAACACAGGCAGTGAGGGGAGATCCGGATGGTGAGCCTACTCTCCCTGAAAGAAGGGAGCCATGGATAGGCTCCTGCTGCTCTTGCTGGTACCTCCAAAGACCCCAGCTAGGAGAGAGTGAGAGTTTAAGCCTCCACATTGTCAAACTTACGGCTCTTCATAACAACTCCAATATGAGACAGGCAATAAGCCACACAGATGCAGGCTTCGAAGGAGAGGGCAGGCTTCTCACACCTCACAGGCCTCTCCATACATCATCTGGTCCTTCTTCTGTACCTGGCACTTTGAGAAGAGCAAGGATGAGACACAGGAAGGAGCAGGAGTGGGCATGGCCCAGGAAGAAGGGCTGGGTCCTTGGGTGGGAGGTGACCTCCATGTTCTCAGCCCCAGACTCAGGTGTGTCCCCAGACTGTTAGGGCCCTGCTCTCGGGGGCTCTCCTGCGTGTACATCTCATGAAGTCGCCTGGCACAAAATTGTGCTGATGAAATATTTATCAGATTGAGTTGAAAGAAAATACAAATGCTTCACAAAGTGCTCCAGAATGGCACGGTTTGTGACTGAGCAGAAAGAGATCTCTTCATTTTAAGCAGCAGGTTGAGGGCTTTCCTGGTGGAGAAGGGGGAACAGCTTGTGCACTGGGGGTGGCACAGGCCTCTTGTCAATACTCTTCAATGCTGGAGGGTGAAGAGGGGACAATAGGTGAGGGAGGAAGAGAGAAAAGCCCAAAATCCTTAGAGAGGACACTAACCCAATGGATCCATTTGACCTACAAAGCTCAGTAAAGTGGCCAGAAGGCCCAATGTGCCTGGGGGAATTCTCTCTCTCTCTCTCTCTCTCTCTCCCTGTGTGTGTGTGTGTGTTGTGTGCATGTGGGGGGAGAGGTCAGAGGTCTTGAGACAAAGTCTCTCCCTGAACATGGAGCTCACTGTTTAGTCTACCCTGGCTGGCCAGTGAGCCCCCAGAACCCACTTATCCACCCCCCAGTGCTGGGGTTGCAGACACATACCCCTGGACCCAGTTTCTTTACATGGGGCTGGGGATCCAAACTCATGTGTTCATGCTTGCATAGCAAGCCTTTCACCCACTGAGCCGTGGCCCTGGTCCCAAACTGTCTTTCTTAAGAAAGTCATGAAGGCTGAATTCAGTATGCAGACAGTTGGTGTGTGGATTGGAGCCCAGACTCTCTGCAACTTGTAGCACATAATACTAGAAATACCTAAAATGCTTATATTCAGGTACAGCTTAGAGTTTAGGTTTTTTCAGTTTTTTAACTATTTGCAAATGCATTTGGCATCTTGGAGATGAGTCCTAAATCTAAACAAAAAATTCATGTAAGTGTCATATACACTTAAGCACACGACCTGAGGTAATTTTACACAGTACTTGTAATGTGCTGCATTTTGACTACAGCCCTTCATATGAGGTCAGATGTGAAATTGTCCACTTGTGTTGGTTTTCAAAAAGTTTTGAATTTGATATCATTTTAATTTGAATTTTGGATTAGGGATGTTGGACCGGTATATATATGATATATACACATGTATATATAGTTATCACTTACTTTTTTGAAACAGGGTCT